TTTTATTGCAGAACAAGAAAACAAAGCCACATTACAAAAAACACAAGGAGATTTAAAACTTTTGCAAACCTTCTTAGGAACCAGGAATGAACTTAGAAAAGTTGAACAAATTCCAGCACTGGAGTTAAACGAATACATTTGCGAGTTTATCATTTGGGTCAGAACCAAAGATGGAAAAGACTATGAGCCTTCTTCGCTCCAAAGTCTATTGGTATTTGAGAAAACAAGAAAAGTCCTCCTGTCCAAACAGAAAAAGTTAAAGAAGAAAGGAAAAGGAAACAGGCCAAACGCTTCGATAGCTTTAACCAATGATGAATTGAATTCCAGCGATTTCTCCATCTACTTCTGAATCACAGCAATCTATGACTTTGTTCAGTGGGGCTGTCATTCAAGGGGGCAATTTTTCAATCAACATGAACACAGTTAATCAGTCACCAAAGCTCACACTAGAGGAATCTAGCCCACCAAAAGCGTTGCCACAATGGAAGATACTGAGGCCTTTGGAGGACATTGACGATGAGTAAAAACACTGCTATGATATGAATATGTTGTTATATATCACTACCTTTAAAATTTCCTCTTTTCCCTTTGCTGAAATTTTGAAATGAAAATGTTGAAGTTTTTACGCTTTCGAGAGAATAAAACTCATTTCATTGTCGAGAAAATTTGAAAAGATGTTGAATTTTCAAAGAGCGTATGAGTAAATAAAACTCATTTCATTGTCATATCGCTGTCGTTTCCAAGAGTCAACTGTAACTGTTTATAACGTTTCTGCTATTGATTATAGTACCAAGTGATATGTCTCGGTTTTTTACTGGGGTAACGTATATAGAGATTACTTCATGGTTGGTTCGCTTGTACGATTTTTATTCACGAGTTGTGAAGAATCGCCATGAAGTAATCTCTATATACGTTACCCCAGTAAAAAACCGAGACATATCACTTGGTACTATAATCAATAGCAGAAACGTTATAAACAGTTAAAGTTGACTCTTGGAAACGACATTACCTTTGTACAGGGTTTGCCTGAGTTGAGTGACGACTTACATGAAATCAATCCCAAGTTTCATCATATCTTAGTATTTGATGTTCTAATGAGCCAGGCCATAGAAAGTCCCTTGTTATCATTACTGTTCACGCAAGGACGGCACCGTAATGCGAGTGTCATCCTTTTGTTGCAGAATATGTTTCCCAAAGGGAAATTTAACACAAACATTAGCAGAAATGCACAATTAATGGTTCTTTTCCGAAGTCCGAGTGACAGGAAACAGATTGGCATCATTGCAGAACGAATGTTTGATAAAAATCGTACAGCATTCATGTCCGCTTACACGAAAGAAACCGAAAAGCCTTATGGGTATCTTTTGGTAGATAACCAACCAAAGACCACGAGTGACAACCAAGTTGTCGCCGATATTTTTGGCGAATGCCGTTGTTACCCTAACATTGTCACGCAAGACAAATCAGTCCCAACCCTCAAAACAGACCCATCTATAGAGAAACCGACAGTTCAGACGAAACTAACAACATCGAAAGCGAAACAGCCAGTCTAGGTGAAACCATCAGTTAAGACGAAACCAGTTAAAGTGAAACAGACAGTCAAGGCGAAACCAACTAATGTGAAACAACCAGTCAAGGTGAAAAACTCAGTGAAAGTGAAAGAAGCTACAAGGAAACAAGCAATAAAGCGGAAAAGAATGAGCGAGAATCCATCAGTGGAAATAACCAGACATTTGAATTGGCAGTCATTTAGACCAGAGTGAAACGAATCTGTAAATAGTGGATTTGGAAAAATAAAATATTGTATTTTATAGACACGTGTATTCTCTGACCCTAACCTTAATGTCTAACCCCAACCCTAACTTTGATGTCTAACCCTAGCCCAAGAGACTAGGGTTCATTAACATTTTAACCCTAACCATAAAATTAATTATTGGGCAATGACGTAACGAATCTATGACGTAAGATGGGCAAGTCAGGGCAATGACATCACTTAGACATGTTGGGGCATTGACATCACGAAGGATGACTATCAAATATTGGAGGGTCAGTGGTTGACGTCTCGTTAATACAACGGGGTAGTATTTCTACCTGTCACGCAGAAGATCTGGGTTCAATTCCCAGCCGAGACGTTATTCTTGGCGTTGATATTTCTTATCAATGTCGAGAATACTATCTTATTTTTACTCATTCAATCGGTAGGGAAATCGGTAGTCTAGTGGGTAAAACCTATTAGCGCGACTGAGACTACAAGCGCCACTTTTTGGCTGATCTGGAGGTTGCGAGTTTGATGCCTACCGATACGCTTTTAACAGAATTGTTTCTTTTTCTTTTTTTTTTTTTGTTTACGACGGGAAAAAATACTGTCATTGAGTGAATGGAGAAAACATTAAATTATTTTAGGACAAACACAAAAACCTTTCAAAATCATTCGGAGTAAAAACCCAACACAAGGGGTTGAGAAGTGACAAAATACAAAAAACACACCCAATTACATGTTGTTGATTTTTGTGTTGTTTTTTCTTTTTCTTTGTGGTGGGTTTGTGTTTTTTTATTGTGTAAATCTTTTTGATGTTTTTTACATTACAACCGCCATTTTTGGGGGAGTTGGGGGTTTGCGGTTTTGTTCCCTACCGTTACGCTTTTAACAGAATTGTTTCTTTTTTTTTTTTTTTTTTTGTTTACGACGGGAAAAAATACTGTCAGTGAGTGAATGGAGACAACATTAAATTATTTTAGGACAAACACTAAAACCTTTCAAAATCTATCGGAGTAAAAACCCAGACGCATGGGTTGAGAAGTGACTAAATTCACTATAGCAGACCATAGAGGAAACACCTTTTCTCGTAAAACGTAAGTTGTTACGGGAATACGACTGCGAAGCATTGACTGACATAAAATACACGGAAAAGAAATGGTAAAAGAACCGTACAAACAACGAATGAAGTCAACGAAGTGACCAACCGAAGAACCAAACAGCTAACGGCCGAGGAACTGAACAGCGAAGAAGCCGAAGCGAACGACCGAAGAGCTGAACTGCGAAAAGTCGAAGCGAACTCTAGGAATCATTTGACCAAAGAATTGAAAGCGAAAAGGCCGAGGAACCGATTAGCAAACGGTCGAAGAACCGAACAGCGAAAAGTCGAGACGAACAGCCGAAGAGCTGAACTGCGAAAAAGCCGAAGTGAATGACCGAAGAACTGAAGAGCGAACGATCGAAGAGCTGAACAGCGAAAAAGCCGAAGCGAACGGCCGAAGAGCTGAACTGTAAAAGCCGAATAAGCCGCGATCGAACTCAACGAAGCGAACGGCCGAAGAGCAGAACAGCGAACAGTCGAACACAACGAAGCGATCGACCAGAAAGCGGTAAAAAACAAAGGCCAAAGTCTGCGAAGTGAATGGCTGAAGTTTAAGTACATGAAAAAATAACGGCCGAATTATTTTGTTTGCAAAGAAAGTGATGACAGAGTTTATAAACATTGTGCATTGGGTTATGTCGTTAATCATTACTTTTGTATACTTAACTTTACATGCACATGCACAAGTGAGCCGCGGTAGTGTAGGTGAGATCACGGACAAGGTAAGTCAGATCTGGAGGTCATGACTTCGACCCCTGCCAAAAATTTCTTTTACTTCTTCTTCCCTCTCTAATTAAAGCAGTAACGAAGTAACACAAAGAAAAACGACGAAAAACGAATAAAAATGAGAGAAACAAGAATATTAACGATTAGAAATTGAATGCATTATCCCTAAGTAATAAGGTGGGCACTCCGCCATCTTGAATAAATTAATATGAAATTAATTTATGGATTCTGTTGCCCAAGTACCTACCTTATTTTCTCTTTGTTTTTTTTATTTCTTGGAGGGAAATTGTTTAAAATGCAATTTGACGATACTCTTACTATCTTTTTTAAAATTCACCATTTGCCCATCCGTTTCACTAATTTTCAATTTCCACAGTGTCTAGTTCTTGCTGTCTTAATTCTTGAAAGCGTTACTGTTTGGGTTCAAAGGTATAAGCCTACAGTCCTTTCTGGGTTGATTGGATGTAACTTCTGAACTAGAATCACTGATATAAAACTCATTGATGTAAGCAGGGTCATGTAACAAACCAAATAGTTGGTGGGCTGTCTGAATGGCGTGGGCCTGGGGCTTGTTTTGATGTTCACCAAATTTTCCCCAAAAGCTGGAAAAAAAATTATATAAAAACATAAATTAGGCTAGCCCACACCGCAAAAATTATATCTTTTGTCACTAGTTATTGTTTTCTCAGACGTCCGCAGATTGTAATTTTGGTTATAAGTAATAGACAACTGTGTAAAAAATAAAAACAATGTTAATTGCAGCCTTGACTGCAATAAAAAGTTCTTATTTGCAGACTATTTCTGCATTGTTCCATAATTTTCCTTCTAATTTTGAGTTAGCGTTTGCATCTAGCAATGACAAATACCTAAAAAGTTCGAATTCGCTTAAATGCAGACTTTTACCGCAACTAAAAATTCTTAAATGTAGACTTTATCTGCAATTTAAAAAACTTACATATTCAACATCAATTTGGAGACTGTCTTTCGGCCAGGTTTTTTCTGAACGTTCTCCAGTTTAATTCCTTCTCGTTCTTCATAGGCTCTGATATAAGCTGCCTTCTGTTCGGGGGTAACGCACTCCTCCTGCCAGCCGGTACATTCTTGCTTAATTTTCAACCAAGTGTTAACATAATCAGCAAATAAACCCACGCGTCTGTCTTCCTCTCTAAAGTGCCATACATCATGGATCTTGATAATTTTATAGCCGAGCCCCACGGCTTTCTTTGGCTCTTCAGTGCACCACGTACCGCGTAGCATTTGTTCTGCATCAGTGTGATTACAGAGATTAGTGCGTTCTAGACAATGTTTTTGCTGTTACTCTTCAACGCATTTGCCACAGAGGGGAAATGTGAGTTTTCCACCGGCACGGACGAGAAGAACTGGGTGATAAAGTCGCTCCGCTGGCAACACGTCAACCAAGGCTACACCAAAATAATGATGAATGTTCTGATCGCTGGGGTTCGCGTAGATCAGCGGAAATCTGACTGGATATTCTTTGTACTTGTTTACCCAGGGGTACAAAGACGTGACATTTACATATTTAATGACTTCTCCTTCTTCCGCTTTGGCATAGAGGCAGGCAGCACCTATTCGTCCTCCAAAGAACGCATGTCGAGGGTTAAGTGGCTCTACAAACTCAGAGGTCTTGAAAAATTCTTGCAACTGCGGGTCTGTTTTCTTGTCCTTGTTAAACGCACACTCCCACTTTTCAATGACGGTATAACCGGCCCGTCGAAGCATTTCAGTTTTTCGCTGGGTGGCTTCGTACACTTCTTGAACTGTTCTGTCTAGGTGACAATTTCTTCGGAGATCACGCTTCTTGAAACAATTGTTGCATCCGTGATAATAGCAACCGTGAAACTCACAGACAGTCTTGGTTTCTGCGTCATGCCCATCCACAAAATATTCTTCCGCCGACGTTAAGACTTTAACCTCACGGCCATTGCGAACTTGTCTCACTCGACTTACACATCCTAATTTCCAGTCTTCAAAATAAAGCCACTCTAACGCCACTTTACTCTGGTTCACTCGGTTTCCACGCCATCCATTCTGCGGCTCCAGTGCAATTAAATATTCTTCTAGCTTTTCACGCCTCTAGAACAAATTGCACGCGCTTGCAATTGTAACGGACTCTATCAGAGGGTTAAATCCGGCAATTTCTTCAAATTCTTCAATAAAGTTCGGACAGCCTTCTTAATAATAAAAATAGGAACATTTATTTATACCGCGCAAATTCAACTATACAGTTTTCAAATGCGCCTTACAATTAAAAATTACACGAATGAATAATTATCTTGTCTATAAATTACAACATTATATCAGAAAAGGCTTTTTTAAAAAGGTGAGTCTTCAAATTACGTTTAAAAGTTTCAAAATAGGAGGTGCATCTAAGATCTAACGGAAGATTATTCCACAGCTTTGGTGCGGCGGCTACAAAGGCTCGGTCACCAAGAGTAGGGAGAGTCCTGACGTTTGGATTTGAAAGCAGATATTTGTTATTTGATCTCAGGCTGTAGGAAGAATTAGGTTTAAAGTTAACGAGAGATGATAAATAATTAGGAGCTGTTCCATGGATTGCTTTGGGAGTGATTATAATAATCTTAAATTCTATTCTAATCGTTACAGGCAGCCAGTGTAATTCGTATAATATTGGTGTGATATGGCAATACCGTGGTGCTAGGTATAGAACTCTTGCAGCTGCGTTTTGAACACGCTGCAGTTTAGTGAGGGCGCAGTGAGGTAGTCCGTATAAAAGGGAGTTACAATAGTCCAATCTGCTTGTGATGAAAGCGTGGACTAATTTCTCGGCAGATTCTAATATTCTAAGGGATTCCATTGAAATATCATAGGGGTTGACAAGCCTGACTCACGCTTCCACCCACGTGTTTTAGCCTTTAAATCTCAGAGTTTAGCTTTTACGAGTATATCTTTCAGAGACCTTCCTCGTTTGTATGATATAATTGGAGGTTCTTTGTAGATCTGTCTCAGAAGAGGTTGTTTCTCTATCAGGTGCCAGTGTTTCATAAGAATGTTTTTAAGGCTGGGAAGTGATGGTTGATACTGCGTGACAAAGGGAAAAATGGCTTTCTCTCTTGATGGTTTTTGTCGGAGTGCTACTTTCCTGTTCTCAAAGTGTATTTCAGAGAGAGTTAGAGTTATTAAGTTTCGTGGATATCCTCTCTCTCTAAGGTGCTTTTGTAATTCTTCTAGTCGGTTTTGAAAGTTTTCTTTTGAGGAATTTGTTCTGAGTAACCGGAGGGCTTCGCCTTTTATAAAGCCCTTCTTGACCCCTAATGGGTGGAAAGACGTATATTGGAAAGTTTCAGTAGGTTTAAAATGCGTTCGTACGTCGAGAATTGACGTACTGTTAAACCGTTTGCCTTTGTACACAATTGTATCCAGAAATGTGACTTTTTCCTCAAAGATTTCTGCTGTGAATTTAATAGTGGCGTGGTGATTATTTGCTTGTTCAATGAAGTGTGTTATTTGTTCTCTTCCGGTACCCCAGAGAGAGAAGATGTCGTCTATATATCTTTTCCAACAGATAGGCTTTATTGCGCTCTTTTTTAATAACTCTGTTTCTACTTTCTCCATGAAGATATTTGCGAAAGCAACAGCGACCTTTGTTCCCATCGCTGTCCCGTGTGTTTGGGGGTAATTTTTTCCATAAAATGGAATGAATTTTCTTTTAAAATGAGTCTGAGCGCTCGTTCAAGTGACTGTGTTGGAATCGGGGGTTTATCTTTGTAGTGAGTAACATATGCTTTGCATATAGTTTTGATCTCCTCTTCCTGTGGAATGTTGGTATATAGACTTGTCACGTCCATTGAAACAATGGTCGCGTGCTTTGGGACTTCTGTGCTTTCTATGAAATTAATGAAGTCTGTAGAGTCTTTAAGATAAGAAGCCTGTCTTTGTGTTATAGGTTGCAACAGCCTATCAGGAAATGCTGAGATTCTTTTTGTTGGTCCGTCACAACCTGATATTATTGGCCTACCTACTGGTGTAGGCTTGTGAATTTTAGTTAGGGTGTAGAATATGGGAATTCTAGGCGGGCTCGGTGTTTGTGACAGCCATTTTTTTGTCATGTCATCAATGTTTTTATTTTCATGTAGTTCTTGTATTAGTTGTTTCACTTTATATTGAGTTTCCTCAACCATCGGTTCATCTAAAGGTCTATAGTGTTTCGAGTTGTCAAGTAGTGTTTGACCTTCGTTTATTTTGTTTTCTGTGTCCATAATAACGACACAGGAACCTTTTGTCTGCTTTTTTCACATTAAGATCTTTGTTTCTTTTTAAAGATTGTAGTGCTTCTCGTTCTTTTGATGACGGATTGTTTTTTGGCTGTGACAATTTAATTTCTGCCAGTTGTAATTTAACCTCTTCAAGATAACTTTCGAGTGCAACCGAGGGTTGAACTTGTGGTATCCAGTTTGATTTTACGTGATAAGGATGTGGTTTGTTATTTTGCCCATGAAAGATATATTTCAGGCGCATTCTTCTCGCAAATTGCTCAAAATCCTGAAGAAGTTGACGCCTGATATGTTGTTCTTTTGTTAATGGTGTGGGTATAAATTTTAACCCTTTAGAGAGTAAATTTATTTCATTGTCTGTGATGTTTTGACTGGATAAGTTCTTTATGTACCCCTTGTTTCTTTCTAGTTGTGTTCTTTTATAAGCTTGTGTTTTTGAGGTTGTGCGTTCTTTACGCTTTTTACTGCCTGATTTTGACAGTTTGTTGTTTTCCTGTACATCCTTGTTATATAAGTTGGACTTAGTAAGTAGACAGGCATACTGTTCACCACTTTTATTTGACATTGTGTTCATGAGGTTTTTAAACTCGTTGAACTTTTTAAAGATGTTTTCAGCTATCTCTTTTACATTTTGCTCATGAGTGTTCTTATTGTCCTTTGATTTCTTGTTTACAGTTCCTGTCGGTCTCTTTTGCCGCTTGATTGATTTTTTGCTTTCAGCTATTCTCCTTTCATGGTACCTGATTAGGGCGTTCACCACCTCTTGTTTTGTTGTTTTTCGTATCCTTTTAATGTCTGTTTTAAAGGCTTCATCTGCCCTTATGCGTGCTCGTGCTTTGTATTGTAATGTCTTTGGGCATGTTCGTCTTTGGGAATGCCTATCCAGGGCTTTTAGAGCCTCCTCTGATTGTTCTATTATTCTTTCTTCCGACAGTGTTTCACTGTAGCGGCGTTTACGGCTCTGATTTCTTTTCTGGTCCGGTGGTTCGTATTTTTTGTAAGAGGTGGTTCCGCGTCTGCTCTCCTTCTTGTCTTTCTTCTTTTTAGCGTCTTTTGGAGATCTTTGGCTTGGTTCGGGGTCAGGTTCAGAAAGGTTGCTTTCTTCTTCGTCGTTCAGAGTTGTACTGCAAGCAGTTGATAGTTTGAACGTTAAAAAATGAATGATGGTCGAAAAACCAGAAGCCATTGACTAGACATTGGCATATACTAATTAGCATAAATTCGTGCACCGTAACACCAAGTAATAAGAGAAATTTCGAAACGATATTTCTCGGTTTGCCCCTTGAAAATCGTGTCCTACTTTTTGCATGAATTAAAGCAAAGGTCCAGGAGAACTGACGTCACTGGACGGCATTAAACGGCCGGTCAATTCAGACGTTACTGAGGGAGTAATAACGACTCGAAGTAATCGGATGAAATTCAGGCTAGATCGGAATCATCGTTTGGATTGAATGCCAAATAGACACCGGTATCATCGGCGTTAACTGTGCGCTGTTGGCAAGTGGCGGCTAATGACATCAAAAAGCTCACTAGTGTAAAGGGAGAACAGCATTGGGCCAAGACAGGAGCCCTGTGGCACCCCAAACTTCAGATCAAAACTGTCTGACTTTGCACTGCCGATTACAATACGCTGGGATCTATTCGACAGATAGGATTTGAACCACGTTACTGCTGGATCTTAATTCCAAATTTGTATTCCAGGCGCCGCAGTAATATATCATGTTCTACTGTATCAAAGGCAGCGCTTAGATCTAGGAACACTAGTAGTATGTCGTTACGGATGCGCAGTAAGGCAGTCTCCGTACTGTCATATTTGCGGTAGGCTGATTGAATGACACGTGATCAGAGATTTGTAGTGTAGCTGCCTTTTCAGTGATCTTTGAAAGGAATGCGAGATTGCTGACGCGCCGGTAGTTTTTCTTTATCAAATCCCTGTTGACTTTCTTTAACTTTGGTTTCACTAAACCCTCCTTCCAAATGTTAGGAAAATGACCACTACTGAGCGAAAGATTAACCATGTTGGAAATGGTCGGTAAGAGTTCATTAATGCAGTGTTTAACAATCCTGGTAGGTATAGGGTCATTGTCGCAAGTCTTGTTTGGGGCATTCAGCACCAGTTTTTTTGATACCTTCAGACGATATAGGCTCGAAGTTAGTGAAGGGTGTGCCAGTATGCGAGTGCTCTTGGACGCTACTCCTGGTCGGGTAGTCAGGCTGATTTGATGAGGGGTCAATTCTGTCCAGCTTTGAGCGAATGTCATCGATCTTTTGTGTAAAGAATCTCCCAAAATCATTAGCAAGCAAAGCAGGGTCAGAGTGTTTGGGGTATTGTTCCTTTGACGACCCTCCTAGCAGTGCACTAGCCGACTTGAAAAGCTTTCTCTGATCACAATCATTTTCATTAATAAGATTGAAATAATGGTCACGCCTTGCTTCCTCCATCACGTGATTTGCATGATTGCGTGCCTTGATGAATTTTACCCTGTCTGACTCGGGCCCTGTCCTTCGCCATATTCTTTCATTCCGTCTACGTAAACGCTTGGCTTCCTTGATTTCGTTATTGAATCGAGGAACCTGCGGAAGAACCGTGATAGTCTTCTTCTGAAGTGGAGCATGTTTATCTAAAAGGCCGGTCATGGTTAAACCGTAACAGGAAAAAAGGTCTGTAAGTGTATCGGGTGGGTCCTGGCATAGTCTCGATTTCCTGAGATCATCCTTGAACGATTCAATGTCAATAGCCTTAGTCTTCCGGTAGAAGACCTCCTCAACAGTTGTAGCCGGCATACAGTGAGTTAGTTCAGATAGAACAGTGCAATGGTCTGACAAGAAACTGTCAGAGATGGGAGAGGTCTGAACAAGGCCATCCAGGTCCCGTGTAATGATGAAGTCTAAAAAGTGTCCTGAATGGTGAGTTGGTGTAATCACATGTTGTGTTAGCCCCATGCACTCCAGGAGATCTAAAAACTCTATAGCGTCGGCATCATCTGGGACGTCCATATGAATATTCATGTCTCTTACAATGAGGAGACGTTCAGATGACAGCACAATTGATTCTAGGTATTCAGCAATATCGCTGAGAAAGGTGGCTACAGTTACTGGGTGTTTTTCAGAGAACGGTGTCCGATAGATAATGGCTACCTTGACTTTGTTGTTTAAGCAATTGAACATCACTCTCACAGCAGCGCAGCAGTTCTTCTTGAAAATCAAAGACGGCGTTTCCTCTGATTTTTTGAGCGTGCCAGGTGAGGAATTTTTCTCTCTTCTTTTCCAGCATGTCGTCAGGGCAGTACTGGTCCGCTAGTGGGTACACTCCTCGGTAACTGAAATTTTCCGCTCGGTTAAAGGCGTGCGGAAAGTAACCTTTGTGAAGCTCTTGCAGATTAAATGTTGCCGGAAATTTATCCAGCTTCATATTGAAAAAGTTCATAGAGTCTTTAAACACCAAGTTTCCGGTTTCAAACGACATAACCTTCGCCCCCTGCGTTAGCGGTTTTTCCACAGCACGACCCTAATCATACAACTTTTCCAGAATAAAATTTCCGTCAAACCCAGGCATGTTATGAAAGAACGTCACCACTTTTCTTTTCCTCTCATCGCCTTCAACCTGTGTCAAATCCTCCAACGCAGCCAAAAAATCTTCAATGTTGTCTGAGTGGTGAATTTCGTCTTCTTCGGCGTTAGACCAGCAGATTAGATTTGGATAAAAGACGCGGTCTTCATCTTGATAACATTCAATATCGGCAAAGACTGCTAATGGGGAACGCGGAGGACCTTTCTTGTCTTCTTCGTCTGAGTCTTCATTCACAGGAGGCGCGTCAACATGACGAGACTCATAGAGGTCTCAAATCGCAGACTCCTGCTGATGTTCGCCTATTGAATAGGCGAGCATAAGCAGGGGAGCTCTGAAGAACTCATCAACTTTTTACGGCTCATTTGCTTGGGGGTGACAAATTCTCATATGAACTGGATTCCTGTACGTCAACAAGATTTTGGTTCAACAAAGAACTCAATTACAAATCAGCTGCATTAGAAGTCTTTCTGTCGAACCGGAATGCTTTTGCCTTTGCTTTTGTCGCTTCTCTTAAAATTTATTGTACTTCGAGAAGAGTGAATTTACGCACTTCGTGCTGGGAAATTCTCCACTAAGGGCCAGTTATTTAGCCTCTGTATTACTGAATCGTGTTATAATTACGCCATTTTCAGTTTACCTAACGCTTTTGTCAAACACAATTTATCGTGAATAATTTCAAGAAAGCCGATATAGCGCAGACTGGAAAAGCACTTATTTTCTTAAAGGTTCAATAATTTGTTAAACCGAAGCCTAAGGTAGCCTGTAATGGTTTGAAAGTAATGCCACTCTATTTATTTCTAACTTTCTGCGATAACGGTGCAAAATTTTTCAGATAGTATTTTTCAACCGAATAAGCTGCCCATCTTGCTGCGATGATCATGTTCACTTTCATACTTTCATCCGCAGTTCAAAACAATTTATAAATCATTTCATATATTTCAATTCGTGCTCTCCATAATTTTATGTAAACGCAACCTTTTTATGGAATCTTTACTCAAGGCCATAACCGCCAAACGGAAACTGCCTTACAGCAAAAACTTTTAAAATTGTCGCGCTGTTTTATCGGTAATAAGACCTCACTGGATCTGGATGGTGTTAAATTCAAACGTAAGCGAAACACTTGCAATATTTGAAAGAGTGTTTAAGCAACACGATACAATACTGGGAACTAAATGCATAAACAATGTCGTAAAAAGAAAGCCATTTTTGTTTCCCTCTGAGACATCTAGACTGAAATTCTCACAAAGCGACAGCCTAAAAAGGCTAAGCTGCTCTGTTGTATGAGAAAGGCCAAACTGTTTTCCTTAATGCTGGACAGAGATTCAAACAATATCTGAAAGCGCTTTCCTAGTTCCCTATGACATACCTGGAGAATGAAACTCTGACAGAACCACAGCCTAAAAAGGCTAAGCTGCTCTGTTGTATCAGGAAGGCCAGACTGTTTTACTTGATGCTAGACGGGGGTTCAAAAAATATTGAAAGCGCGGTTTTAGTTCCCTCTGAGACACCTGGAGAATGAAACTTTCACAGAACCACAGCCTAAAAAGGCTAAGCTGCTCTGTTGCATCAGGAAGGCCAAACTGTTTTGCTTAAGTTCTGGACAGGGGTTTAAATAATATTTAAAACGTTTTTAAGTTCCTTCTGAGACACCCGGAGAATAAAATTCTCGCAGAGCCACAGCCTAAAAAGGCTAAGCTGCTCTGTTGCATCAGGAAGGCCAAACTGTTTTACTTAATGCGAGACGGGGGCTCAAACAATACCTGAAAGCACGTTTTTAGTTCCCTCTGAGACACCTGGAGAATAAAATTCTCACAGAACCACAGCCTAAAAAAGGATAAGCTGCTCTGTTGTATCAGGAAGGCCAGACTGTTTTACTTAATGCTAGACGGGGGTTCAAACAATATCGAAAGCGCGTTTTTAGTTCTCTTTGAGACATCTGGAGAATGAAATTCTCACAGAACCGCAGCCTAAAAAAGGCTAAGCTGCTCTGTTGCATCAGGAAGGCCAAACTGTTTTACTTAATGTCGGACATGCACTATCATCAATGTTTCCTTTAGGATTAGTTTCGTTTGTAAAATTAAAGGCTAGCGTATTCAAGGAAGTTCTTAACAAAACTCGATTTCAGTTCCACATCCAACCAGCACAAAATTCTCATTATCAAACTTTTAAAAACAACAACAACAAACACAGGCATTTCAAAATTGGATTTGAGTCAGTGCAAAAACACAAACAAGATACCCTTGCATCAGGAGCGTGGTCAAAAGTATGGCAAGCCCGGCTAAGCCCGGCCAGGTCAGGGTTGCCAAGGTCTTGGCCGGGCTTGCCAGGAAAGCGTGGCCTAAAAAATCCTGGTAAGTCCGGTCAAGGCCAGGATTTTGAGGTAAGCCAGGCCATAGAAGTGTGGCTTTTTCGGCCACACTAAAAAATGGGCCTGGATTTCATGGCTTTCCCGGCCAGAAAACCAAAAGCCGGGAAAGCCAAGAATTCGTGGCCATGTTCTCCAAGTGACAGCAATAAGAACTAAAAACAAATTTTTTACAATATTTCTACCTATTTATTATTATGACAAATTGTCTTATTATAAGAAATGTCTTTTTTTTACAGGATCAATACCAAAAGTTCTTTAGGTAAATAGAAAATACAGAGTTTTAAGAAATAAAAAGTGCAAGAAAGGGAAAAACATAGATCATATAAGGCTACAACAAGTCCGCTGCTCTTTTTCCACAAAGTTTGGCGCTCTATCGAAACACAAATCTTGCTTGTTTCTACTCAGATAAAAACCTTTTTCTTCAATAGCAGCAACATTGAATTATGTTTATATAGATGCATGAAGTAATATAAAGTAAATTTTCAATATTTGATGATAAAGCGATTCTGCAAAACTTATATAAAACCATACTGAAATATGTACAAGTACCTCCTATTCTGAATTTTCTGTATGGTTCTTTTTCAACCGCATGGGTAATTTATTTAACTGGGAGGATCATTCCTACTTTCATATCTATATCCATATTTCCAAAAAAAATTGTCATTTCATGTAAGCTCAATTATTTCCGTTCATGTCACTTCCATAATTGGGTACGCTAGCTCACAATGGCCTGCTCTCCAGTTGGCTTGGTAAGTTTAATGGTTAAACGATTGCATCCGATCAATTGCATAGGTCAGGATTCGGTTCCCGATCAAGCCTTCACTTTTCAGGTACTTGTTCAACCACTTAGATAATGTCCATTTAACTACAAGGATCATTTCCATTTTTATAACTGTTTCGTTCTGTAATCTGTTCCTCGGATTTACTGTTCCTCGTAGGTCAAAAGTCCACTTGAACATGCGAACAGTTCCTTGCTTTGCATGCTTACTCTTGCATACGTACTCTTTGTTGCAAATAGTCAATGGAATACTCTGAAAACTGTATGTTCTGGCGCTACAAGGTTATAGTAGACTTGTCAAGACCAATGTTAGATAAAATAGGAGAAGAAATAGCATAATAAGTAAAGTTTCCAATAGCTACTATACAGGTTAGAAGCAATAAAGTTTCCAGTTAATTTATGAGGACTTGAGACTTGAACTTTCATATAAAATATTAGAATACAGCTTGTAGGTTTGTTTATTTGAACTTTAATTCATAGTATAAGTTGCATAAGGTTGTATGCTTCTGGTACGTTTAATCTTAATATCATCGCTGTAATAGTAAGGTCAAAAACAACTAGCACTAGCACTTGCTGATGTGTGGACCTTCAGTTCAGAAGGCTGCATCGGCGACATTGAAAAAAGCAGTCATTTAGCAGTTTTTTTTTCATATACATGCACTGTATTAATTATTCGAAGACGTTTATTTACATGCATGTATGTGGAATGTGGTGATGTGTGTGTTGAGTAAAATAAATTACGAAAAAGAGAACATTCAGCTGATGTTGTCATTTGGATTAAAAACAAACACTATCTAGAGATTCCACCAACAGGGTACGTTTTTATATTTTTTTCAATCATGACTAGGTATAGGTTACTTTACATTATCTCACTATCTAGAGATTCCGACTGAACAGGTTATGTTTGACATTTTTTTTCAATCATGACTATAGCCATAGTTTACTTTACACTACATGTATATCTATGTGTTGTGTAAACATGTAGGTAGGGATGTCACTAAGATTTCAAGTTGGCGGATAAATACAACAAGTAGGCAGGGAATCAAACAGCTAGTGATTTCTTTTAGTTCTATTTTTCTTCCATTTTCTTTCCATTTTTTTCTTCCACGTTCATAATAACCAGGGGAGCCCCCGGCTCTTGATGCTAAGTTTCATACATGTGGTTACTGCTCATACAGATCAGTTTCCTGTGATTTTAAGGACAATTTCATGGTGTTAGTGTTCTTTCCCTTACCCCCGTGAAAGTGGTGAGGGATTAATTTTCATGAGCCATTAAGATGAAAAGGCCATGAAAGGTCATGGTCAATGAAAATTTTCACTTCAAGTCATCAGTACTCCTTTTTATGACAGTGTTCATATTCTGTATCATTCTGCTGAGAGAATTAATGCCTGCCAAATACAGATAATGTATTAACTTTTTCCTATCAAAAAATCTGAAGTACAACCACAGTTAACTAAAAAGCTATATGTTAATCATGATAACATGAAAATTAAATGTTATATTATTGATCTTGTTGAAAAGAAATAGTTATATTGTATGTATTAGAATTTTCTGCTTTGAACATATACATGTAGGTATGGGGGTTTCAAATTTTTTTGAAGTTATAGGCAGCCGACTCTGGAAAATTAAGCGGCTGTGACAATATTGAGGGGCTGCAAGTTGTGATCTAACAATATCATAGTAAGGATAAACTATTATTGTTGGTCACTCTAAGGGATTGAAGGGCTAGGATTACCCGTGTTTAACCAACTACGCTGGATTGCCGCATACTGTTTCTATGTACAAGTATCAACAACCTGTTTCTTTGGAGAACTCTATGATCTGAGTGAATAGTAAATCCTTCTTTTGGGTATCATACCATTGTGCAACCTAAGTATTTAAGGAGGTGTACGGGAAATCAACACTTATGTTTTTCTTTCATTTTGTATCGATTGTATTTACAACAACTGTGACAAAAGTGTATAAAGACACCAGCCCGACTCAAATTAGCAGCAAACTGGCTAATTGCCCAAAACGAGCAGGCTCAAAAAACATGAGAAGACTGATCAGTGTTAAAAATGAAGGACTTGTACATTTTATTTTTTTAAAACAGTTGATAAGTCTTTAAGTGCTTAAGAAATATTCAACTGTTAAAACTTTTAGTAGTTTGCAGTCTTAAAATTACTTTTTCTTTAATGTTATGTTAGATCAAAGGTCAAGAAACATAAGTTACAGTTACCACCTTTCCTTTTTTTTCTTATAAACTTGTATGGAAAAGTAAAATTGATCCTTCTTAATGACAACATATTCAATACTAGAAATAAAATGCATAGACTTTATGATAGTATGAATTAGAGTGTGAGCTGAATACTTTTTACAATGTGGGGTTACTTTTTGCTGGTTGTCAATCTTATGATTACAGGGCTAATTTGCTCTGCTTATAATTCAGAGGGCAGCTGTAAAACCTCTGAATCAAAGGTGCCAGCCAAGCTGGCCCTGGCATTTACAGCTGGCTAATGGTCAAGCTTATGGCTGGCTTCCCTGGCTAGCCTGGTCAAGCCAGGCCGTTTGCTCTGTTGTGGTACTGGCCGGGCTGGCCGCATCTTCCCCGGCTAGCCTGGTCATGTCAGGCCATTTGCTCTGTTATGGTATTGGCCGGGCTAGCCTACGGCTTCCCCGGATTGGGCTGACCGAGGCTTTTGGGCCAGGCTTTGACCCCGGTCTACCCCGGTCTGAACAGGCTCTTGATGCAAGGGTAGTCTAAACATCAATCCTAAAACTCACAACCACCTGACTTTCACCAAAGCTCAGAAAGCTCAAAAATGGAATTAATTTTTTTTTTACTTAAAATCTCTGATTCATGTGGTCGCACTCCTCATACCCTCAAAACAATTAACTGCACAGATTTAATCAGTGTAAAATTAAATAAGCTTTACAGTAAGTTTAATTTGTAAATCAATTTTCTGGTTTATGAAATTTTACCCACTTTTACTGACTGTTGATAGCCACTGGCTGTGGCAAAATAAAATTTCCTGTTTTCTTAAAAGGGATTTGATTAAACTGAAAATATCCGCTGATCCACACGTAAAAACTGAACTCTGACTGAACCGAACTGATTGCGATCAGGCTTAAGAAATAGTGATCTCCATCAACATTCTCCATGAACATTACAGTTTCACGCAATTAGCATGGCGCAGTTATTGAGAATTTATAAAATGATCGAGTGATCAGTGTCGATCTTAACATAATAATAGGTATCCATTTGAAGATGATACAAGGAAACCCAAAATAGACTTACCCGCTTCGGCTTAGAAAATTGAGAAGGGGTTGGAGAGCGTCACCGTACGGCTGAATCCAGTGAGCGACCCTCAATAAAAATCATTTAAGCTTTTATAAGCTTCCATAATCAACAACGACGTGAATGCCCGAGTTTCTGACACGACGCTTATCTGCCACCGTCAGGAAATCATCCGATATTGCTTCTCCAACGAATCCCTCATTTTAATTTCCCCAATTCAGTAATCCACGACCAAGTACCATTTCCAGATCTTCCCCGCACGATGAAACGCTTTCTCTGACTTCTCTGACCGCTTCCCGCTATATTTTCTGGTAGTTGGGGGAATTTAGTCCTTCTTTGATCGCTTCAAACCTGCTTTCGTCTGCATTCCATCGGCGTAATAAAGGCTCGGGCTAAGGTTAAAACGACAACAACATGATCTTTCCCCTTTGAAAAACCAAACCTGTATGGGTTGACTCAAGCGCCAGTACTATCTGTATTATCGACCAAGACATAAATAACCATAAATAATCGTCCCTGCTACTTCCAAACATCATCTCTACATAAAAAGCTTAAAATTTTGACTTGCCATGAATTATATCTGTTGGTAAAACCATTTGGTCATTGATACTGCGTACGAGATTACGTTTGTTTGGCAAGTGAGAGTCCAAAGACTGAAGATGTTTTTCCCGGAGGAGGCGCCACTTTCATGTCGGCTTTAAAAGTTCGCGCGAGATCGCATTGTGATACAAATAGCATCTGTCTTTCGTCTCAGCTCGTCTTCTATAGGTGACGATACTCCTGCCCGTCAGTATCCGTCGTTTAATTTTCTTGAGATCTCTGAGGAGTTTGTTATGTCTCAACTACGTAGCCTGAAATCTGGGAAAGCTGTGGGTTTGGATCGCATACCGGCTCGCCTGTTAAAAGATTCTGCGGACATTGTAGCTAAGCCTGTGGCGTTTATTATCAACACCTCGTTACGTACTGCCCAAGTTCCCAGTGATTGGAAATCCGCACGGGTCATTCCACTCTTTAAAAAGGGAAAGGCTGATGAGATGGACAATTATCACCCGATTTCCATTTTACCTGTTCTATCTAAGGTTTTAGAACGGGCTGTACATATCCAACTCTACAAATATCTCCAGCAAAACAAGATCTTGAGCCCTTATCAGTGCGGGTTTCGGAAGTGTCACTCGACAGAATTCGCTGCTCTTAGTTTTTCTGATAATATTCCTAGGAACATGGACCAAGGTCAATTAACTGGTGCTGTGTTTATTGACCTTCGCAAAGCTTTCGACACTGTGGATCATGCGGTACTTCTGGACAAGCTTTCCAATTTGGGGATTTTGGATAAAGAGCATGGCTGGTTTACGGATTACCTGTCGAACCGCACCCAAGTTGTAGAGTTTCAAGGGGTGACTTCTGCTTCGGAAGCCGTCTCTACTGGTGTGCCTCAGGGCTCTATCCTCGGACCATTATTGTTTATTCTACACATTAATGATTTACCTGAAGTAGTGTCCGATTGCAATATTCTGATGTACGCTGATGACACTGTTTTATACTGTTCATCCTCTCAAGCCTCTGTCATTCAAGACAAGCTGAATGCCGAACTGTCTAAGACTGATCACTGGCTTTCTTTTAATAGTCTGTTTGTTAATGTAACAAAAACCGAAGCTATGCTTTTCGGAACCGCCCCTAGATTATCTGCTGTTAACTCTTTTTCTATTACTTTAAATAACAATGTAATTAAGCGGGTTTTTCACTTCACTTATCTAGGTATAGTTTTTGATGACCGCCTTAGCTGGAACGAGCAAATAAAGTACCTAATTTCGAAGGCGGGAAAACGCGTAGGAATGCTCGGCAGGCTTCGCAGAAGCCTCACTAGAGAGAGTGCAAATGTAGTGTACTGTAGTCTAATTAGGCCAATTTTAGAATACTGTGTAAGTGTGTGGGGCTGTTGCGGGGAAGGTCGTAAACAAGACCTTGAAGCCCTCCAAAACCGGGCTGCTAGGATAGTGGCTTGTACTGTGCGCAGCAAGCAGGCATTGGACGTTCTGAAATGGCCCACCTTGGAGGAGCGCCGACGTCAATCTGTTTTTCAACTGGTTTAGAAATGCCTGCAAGGTCAATGTCCCCAGTATTTTAAACAATATTTTAAACGTAATAATACAATCCATGCGCGCGCTACTAGACAAAGCAACCTCTTACATCCGCCTGCTGTGAGAACTGAAATTTCAGAAAGATCCTTCTATTATTATGGTTGCACTCTTTTTAACGAATCATCTTAATGATATTTCGTGTTTTACATCTTTTAATCTTTTAATTGAAAATAGTTTTCTATTTATATTATTACCTGTATTAGTGTAATGTTTATATGTATAGTGTGTTTTTGTGCGTTGTTGCTCAGGGGCTCCCATTGATAACAGACAGCTTTTGGCGTCTGAAGGGGCTACCCTGAGCGGTATAAATTAATAAAGGTTCTTCTTCTTCTTCTACACAAGTCATGACAGATTTTATGGCTATTCATTGAATCCTAATTAGGTTTTTACAAGGACACCGGAAATTGAAACTTCCTCCCTGTGGTGAATTTCAAAGTCGTATGAATCTCGTCATGTCTGGGTCTTCGTTAGCAGTCTCTTTCTCTTTCGCCACAGGCTGTGTGAAGCACCGATGGTCCACGTGTTGAAATTCACCACAGTTTGGACAGGTGGCATGGAAACACTTGTGCGGTTTCTTCGGGTCTACCTGGTACACACTACAACAATTCAAACACTTTCTAAACCGTTCGCAGAGACTTTTCTCCCCTTTTTTCTTGCCTTTCTGCCGGTGCGCCTGAAAACAATCCGACCCATAAAATTTTATATGACACCGCTCACATTCTACCTCAGGCGTTAGCAACGCTGCATAGTTAGGCAACCAGGTTCAGTTCCTTTTCGTGTTCTACCGCAGGCAGAACAATTCTGACCTATGCAATTATGATGTCGTGCCTCTTCACTATCATAGGCTCTCTCACAGTGACATCAAAAATAGGAGCGGTTCATCAGCGCGGGAATACTCGTCAACCTATCGTAATTTTTCTGATGTTTGACAAGCTGTATTACATTCCGTGCCTCATTGTACTTGGGGTCCTTGAACAGGATAATGCATCTGGACGCCTCAACCACAATCAGTTGGTAGCCCTGTGGTCCCAGAAAGGCTTAAAACTTTTCGAGTTCTGCGTAGCCGCACGTACCCTCTGGTACCCCTGCCTCTCGATGCAACTCCATGGCTAAAAATCCTAGCTGTGGACGACCCCGTCTTAAACTGCTCCACCGATTTCCTGCTTCGTTACGGTTACACCATTTTCTCATCGTGACGATGGCTCTGGCGCAGCAGAGGTCATCTTGATTCTTGATGTGAATCACACATTGTTTCTTCTCAACCATTTTTTCTCACGCCATTCGACCTGGACTACCTTTCTTGCCACCATTTTTACCGCCACGACCTAACCTTCGAAAAAACGTTAACTCCACAAAAAACCCGTCCTGCTGTACATTCATGACCTCCCCTGAATTCAAACGTTTCGCTAATTGTTCCATCCATGCTTGTGTAAATTCACTATTACTCAACCATTCAGCCAGGGGAATATTTTTCAGGGATTGCTGCCATACATGCTGAAATGAATTCGAATGAACCGCCATAATCAAATAATCGGCTACCTCAATGCCTTTATTCGTTACAACCTGCCTCAAACCTTGCATAACTACCTCCATCAGCGCCTCACCGAGTCCTTCGCCATCCGCGTCTCGCAGTTGCTCAAAATTCAACCGATACTGTCTCTGCACCACTAAATCCTCGAAAAACACGACCTCGACCTGCAGGTGCAAATTCAGCTCTAAAAATGGGATTTCCTCCTCGCTGTTCAAACCTCCGATAGGCAGCCAAATAAATCTTATCTTCATTATCGGTCAACAAGTCTGAAAACGAAAAAATTTTGTCTTAATTTTTTACTCTTGATTAAACTAAGTGATTATGTTGTTTTTGTTTTCTACGACGTTCGCATATCCAGTCCTTTGTTAAATATAGAAACTACATTGATCCTTCGCCTATCAATTTTAAGAAAAGCAAATTTACCTCTGCTTATAATTCTCTGCTGACTTTGCAAAATTACTTTCGACCGTGGAAATAACTTAAATTTCTCTAGACTTCGGAAAATAATTCCATTTTAACCAAAACAAATTGATCGCTTCGCTTACAATTCACCGCTAATCGTTGTCACACAAATTCGCTCTTATAATTCGTAGTCATTGAACCGCTCTATAATTTCCGTTTCACCGTAGGATTATCAATTCACTTATAATTCTTTGCTAACTCAACTCAATAAAATCACAGATCATTCTCGCTCGGTTTTTGGTTTAAACATATTCGCTTACAATTCACCGCTAACATGACTAAATAAAATCACAGATGCGTAAACCGACTTTCACTCTAAAATACATTTCACCGCGTAACTAACCCGCGCAAACTTTCTTATTTAGGACACTTACCAATGTTCTTGTCTTCTTGTACTAAAACCTGGTCCAATCCGTCCCCCATCAGTGCGCGAATATGAGGATCCATTTTTTAGCTCTGTGTTGTTCACTCGATAAGACAGTAAAACTGAATGATTTTGTGTTGACGACGCACAAGTAATATAATGTTTTTTTTCAACTCAAAGTCCGGTTGGAACAAAAGACTGTGTGATCAAGTCAAGGTTGTTCAAGGTCAACATGTGAATAAAACCAATTCATACGGGTAAAATCGAGTTCACGAACGTGATCCTTTGTTAACTTAAAGAAAAGATCACGTATCGTTTAAAGCTGCCCCGTTTTGCTTTTGCTGAGCTCAGCAAAATTTTTGCATTTTCTTTGTGTTTTTTCTCGGTAAAGTACAGACCTAAATTTGCTTTTCGGAAAAAATTAGTGACTGGAACTTAAGTCTCAAAATTGGTTTCACTACTGAGCTCATTGCATATTGCCCCTTATCTTCTAAAGTCTCAGAGCTGATTTCGCTACTAACTCATTCTTGCCATTAAAAACAAGACAAGTCTCTTTTCAATCGCGAACTTTTTACATTTTATTTCAACCTAAAACACATACAACTAGGGACGTATGGTTTTTGCTAGTCAAAACCGCCCTCGGCTGCAGTGGTTTGCCTTATCATTACCCGCGGGACGTTTGACCGTGACTAATTCAGGTCGCCCATTATCCAACATTTAAAAAACTAAACTGAGGATACAACTGAAAAGTTTGACGACTAGCTTCCCAGTACGATGGATTCCAATCAATCTCGCTAAACTTTTTAACATTTAAAACGAGCAAATCGTCAATAGTCATACAAGTATTACAAATGAGTGTACAGTGCTGACATCAACTTTTTGCGCTAATCCACAGTGTGTGTCTGCAGACGGGTTTACCCATAATTTCTAAATGACATAATCTACAAAAAGAAAAGGCATTTCATCTCTTAGATGTTGATATGTACGTTCAAATCGTTCAATAGCCTCCTGTCCAATTTCAACCCATTCGTTTTTTAACAGGAAGGAATCGACGATGGTTAATTGAGACAAGGTATATCTATTATTATTATTTATTATTATTATTATATATATATTATAAGGTACATCTTTCTGCAGTGTAGCACCAATCTGTAAACCCACACCGCGGCAACATTCTGATATCTTGCAGTGTTTTTCGAAAGAAAACAAACCTCGGTTAAGCCCGCGCGATTCAAACAATTTTGTTTAAGACAACTTAAACGTATACAGGTTGTTACGGCCCATCGTCGTACTCGTACTCGGGTCATTAAAAGCCCCGCGAGACTGGACCTGTGAGAGTAGAATAAATTATGTAGATAACACATCACGTGACTTCCTTGCTAGTCGCTCGTAGATTTGTTGTAAGTCGGGTTCCCGGGCAGTACATCAACCTGTTGTAAATCGGTGTGTATCGTAAATCGAGCGGATTAAAGTTGTGTTCAAGCGTTCAAGTTTGTATTCCATCGCTTTCTTAACATGGTCCTTCACAGCCGGATACAAGGTGACATTTGAACAGTAAAGTTGTAATTCTTCGCAAGGTCATCACCACGTGGGCGATAAGATGGCCGCCAGTCCAAAGACCGAATATGATGATTTATCGCAACTTACAGTCGATCAGCTGCGAAAGCTGCTTCAAGAAAAAGGATTACCAACTACTGGAAAAAAGAAGGTCTTGATTGAAAGGTTGGTAGACGATTCAAAGTCAAATGTTGTCAAACCAGAGTCGAAGGAAGAAATGAATCTTGCTGAGTCAGCGGAGTCTTCGAGTGAAGTAGAAATTCAACAGATTAATTCGATCAGACGCAAAGCCAAAGCCTTGCAAATAGATATGGACGGGCTGATTCGGGAAATTTCGGAGCTTAGTCAAAGTACCAGTAACAAAGTGAAAGTAAAGCTGAGAATTGAAAGACTTACCGTGCATAGAGAGAAATATCTTCAGCTGAGAAATGAAATAGTCGCGCTGATCGCGGAGGATATGATAGAAGAAGAACTTCGCAAATGGGGAGACCTTTTACGTGTGGTGGATAAAGCTATCGATGTTGCTCATGAATACCTCCAAAAGGATTCCAAAGTGGAAGATCATCAGTCTTCAAAAGAAAATACACATACTGACAGTCGTCAATCTTCAAGTCTTAAATTGCCCAGGATTGAACTGCCAAAGTTTAATGGGGATGTGTTGAAATTTCAAAACTTCTGGGACCAGTTTGAAGCCGCAGTGCATAACAATGATGACTTACCCAAGGTACAGAAGTTTACTTACCTACGCTCAGTGCTTACTGGTAATGCTTTGCAAACAATAGAAGGATTTGAAGTAACTGGAGCAAATTATCAAGCAGCGGTCCATTGCCTCCAACACAGGTATGGAAGAAAACGTATGATAATCTCATCCCTTGTGAAATCTGTCATCCAGATGGATGCTAAGTCGGCGGTCAGCGCATCCGCCCTTAGAGATCTTTATGACACATTTATGAATAGAACCAGAGCCTTAGAAGCGCTTGGTGAAGATCCAACGAGTCATGGTTGTATTTTGTTACCCATCTTTGAGACCAAGTTGCCACCTCAGTTACTAGAAAAATGGGAGTTGGAGCTTGCAGACACTCAAGAGGATAAAATAGATCTTGAGTTGTTTTTCAAATTTCTGAACCGCCAAGTTGTATCCAAAGAGGCGGGGGAGAGAGGTTGTAATGTGAACAATACCCAAAGCAATCGCAGTTCTGATAAGGGTAGAGATAACAGAAGAAAGCCTTCATTTCCTCGAATGGGTGGTGAGGATGGAGCGTATACAGCCTCTGCATTACTTGGTGAGGCACGCGAGCTAACTGGTCCAAGCTGCAATTTCTGTAAGGCAGGTCACGAGTCGCCAAATTGCCCAGTTTTCAATGACAAGTCACTAGATGACAGGTGGAAGCTAGTTCAAGAGAATAAACTGTGTTTCAATTGTTTAAAGCCCAGCAACCACAAGCACTTTTCCAAGATTTGTCGCCAACCTAAGTGTTCTGTGGCAAATTGTGGCCGCCGTCATCATAAATTGTTACATGGTCAGCAGTTAGTGGCTACACCCCAGCAGCCTTCCAACATCAGTTTAAGTGGGTTAGCGTCAGCTAAACCGGCATTGCCCTTGAAGGAAACACTGCTACAGACAGCGCTGGCGAGGTTAACTGTCAATGGTCAAGAAATGAAAGTCCGTGTTTTGCTAGACTCTGGTAGTCAACGTTCATATGTGCGCAAGAACATTGCAGAGTCCCTTGGCTTGCAAGGTCCCTCAGAGTTATTAAGTGTTACAATGCTCGGTGGAACAACTAGTGAAACCAAGAGATTGCAGAGAGTTAAATTTGCACTTTCGCCAATGAAAGGAGATTCCAAGGTGGAGATGGAGGCCCTTGCTATTCCCAAGATTTGTAACCCCCTCGGGCCAGTGCAGTTAGACTTTCGTAAGAACTCTCATCTTCAAGGTTTAACTCTCGCAGATTCCTACCCTCGCGATTCCGTCCAAGTAGACGTCCTTATTGGTGCAGACTTTTACTACTCGTTCGTAACTGGGTTGTACAAGAAAGGTAGTTCATCTGAGTCACTTGTTGCTGTTGAATCTCATCTCGGGTGGATTCTTACCGGACAAGTAAACCGTTACTCAAGGTATACCACATCCATGCTTACCGTTGTAGAAAACAGTGGACTCACTAAAAGCTTGAAAAGATTCTGGGAACTGGAATCTATTGGCATCGCTGAGACTGAAAACACTGTTGTTTCCCGGGAGGAGGAAGTTGCTGTTGCTGACTTCAATAGAGGATTGAAATTTGACGGAAAGAACTATGAAGTACGACTACCGTGGAAACGTGACCCTCCTAAACTGGAAAGTAACTACATGCAAGCTGTTAGACGTCTGGAAAGCATCGAAAGAAGGTTAAGACATAACCCTGTGAAAGCTAAAGCTTACAATTCTGCAATCAATGAATATGTAGAGAAAGGATTTGCAGAGGTAGTGCCTAACGAGAATGATGAAGATAGAACTGTACGCTACCTGCCGCATCATGCTGTGTTCCGTGATGACAAAACGACGACTAAGTGCAGAATCGTGTTTGATGCTTCCGCGCGAGAAGGAGATGGTGTTTCTCTCAACGATTGTGTCCTTCCCGGTCCTGCTTTACAGCCCAACCTTGCATCTGTACTCATTCGATTTCGAACAAACAGAATTGGTCTCATAGCAGATATTGAAAAGATGTTTCTTCAGGTCAAGCTAGCGCCAGAGGATCGAGACGTTCACCGCTACCTGTGGAGAGATTTACAGTCTAACGAAACACCCAAAGTTTATAGAATGCAAAGACTGACATTTGGTGTGAACTCAAGTCCATTCCTTGCTATTTCGACGGTCCATGCTCATGCAAAAAAATACGCAGAACTGTTCCCAAATGCAGTCCAAGAAATTCTACAAAACATGTATGTGGATGACGTCCTAACAGGAGCCGATACGGTGGACTCGACTGTGAAACTTCAACGAGACATGTCAGAGATCATGTGTAAAGCGGCGTTTAACTTGACAAAGTGGGCAAGTAACTCACAGCTCGTAATGGATGCTATTGCCCCAGCCAAAAGAGCCTCATCGTCACTGGTGGAGTTTGAGTCGAGTGAACCCCTTAAAGCGCTTGGAGTCTCATGGGATTTGACCTCTGACCACTTCCGATTTCTTGCACCGGGTGGAATTGTCTTATCTCCGGATCCAATGACAAAGAGAAGCCTGCTTAGTCTAGCGTCGAAAATATTTGACCCTTTAGGGTTGATATCTCCTTTCACTGTCAGAGCCAAAATCCTCTTCCAAGAACTGTGGTTAAAAGGATTATTGTGGGATGACCCTTTGGACAGTGAAATTAAAGCAAAGTGGCTACATTGGAAGTCAGAGTTGTTGCAACTGAAAGGTGTGACCATACCCCGATGCTTCGGAAATGGCATCACGCAAGAGTCTAAGATAGAGCTACATGGTTTTGGAGATGCCTCTCCTAAAGCGTACGGAGCAGCAGTTTACATCAGAATAGCAGACAAGCAAGGTCAT